GGGGCGGGCCCCAGCCATTTAAATTTAAATGAAGCCGCGATTATTTTAATCGCGGCTTCATTTCCCTTTTCCGATCTGGCTAATCTACATGCCTCCGTCGAAGGAGGCATGTAGTCTAGACACACCCTATCTTCGGGTGGCGGAGTAAGCTAAATTCCAGTTATCTAAGAGCACATGCCAGTATTTGACTTACTTCAGTGTGAGCCTCTCTCTGTAATGAGCAAAAGACAATAAACAGGCTAAACGACTGCCTTTACCACAGACTTGTAGGCCACCCACAGAAGCAAGTTTTCCAATGATTGCTCACAGTGTAAAAGACAACACAAATGACCAACTTTTTTGGAAAGGGGGGGGAGTATTTTTAATTGGTTATGTGATGAAACAATTGTATTGCTTTCTAGTGCAAGAAACTGATATTTTATTTGTATTAACATAGCCCCTATGAGTTATAACTATGAAGGGTTGTCTCTGTACTGCGCAGCTTGCAGTCTAACAAGGTGAGATGGACAGGAGCTGAGAGAGGAAATGAAGTCTGGAGTGAGTTTGCTTTCTCACAGCAGTTCTGTGGCAGGAGTAGGGAACAGAGCCCTGTTCTACTGTGTGTAGAGCTATGTTCCAATTCACTGAGCCCATGTTGCTCTTAAGCCAGGTCTACACTTGACTTGGATGGTCGGCTTAAGGTACGCAACTCCAGCTACGCAGAATATGTAGCTGGAGTCAGCTTACCTTACGCTCCCATTGGCTTCCCTTTCTTCTCATGACTGTGAGGAGTATAGGCACTGGCTACAGCTGCCCTCTGCATTGATTTATGGGTCTATACAAGACCTACTAAATTGAATGCCAGACCGTCAGTCTCTGGGTACGGCGAGCGAAGACGTGCCCTTAGACTAGAGCAGTGGTCCCCAACCTTTTTAGGTTGTCGGGCGCCAGGGGGCGTGGCCGTTTGCCCGCCGGGCGCCAGGGGGCGGGGCCCGGGGGTGCCCCCCCATCCACGCGCCTGGGGGCGGGGCCC